GTCCTATGGGTGAAGTTTAAATCAGTGGAAGTGGTCAAGTTTAACAAAGTATGTAGGGTGGCTGAAATCTGTAAACTTTACATCTTTGAGCAAAATCCATCCCATTTCTCAAGGGAGAGTAAAGCATAGGGGTGAAAATTTAAGTTACTTGTCTTGTGCCCTCCAGGGGGCTCAACTTGCATTATTTGATACTCTTGTTGCTGGGCTGAGTAAGGTGCCATCTGGCTCAGACATAATCACTCGGCATTGTCTCACCATAGGGTGAAAGCATAAGATCCTGCATCCCTCCTTCTGCAGCAGAGTGAATTCTAAGCAGATAAGTGTTTGTAAAATGATTATATAGAGGAAGTCTGGCATGCTTGGAGTTGTCTTCTCTCAATAAGCTAAGTAGCAGCATCACAAGGGGGATTCTTTAAGGATCCCCCATTTTAGTGGAATAGGCAGATTTCTGCAATATGTCCGGTCTGCTCAGTGTAAATGGGAGATCCCCAGGCATGTAGCACACATTTGTAATGCGCTTTTGCTTTTCAGCCCCCATCCTGTAGGGAGGATGCATGTTCTGTGAGCATGAGTTTCTTCTCTAACCTTCTGACAATAACCTTTTCTCTTCAGCTACTGACACTGTGACTCATTATAGGGACGCTGATTCTGCTGGACTAAACTTTTCCCACTAAACTTCTTCCTCCTTTGTTTGAAACTACACACTAACCCATTTTTTATTTTACAGCACTGTATCTGGATTACATCTGCCTGCTTAAGATAAATTATATGCCATGTATTTATGGAGAGAAAACTAAAGTATTCTTCACCAGGGCTTGTACTGCTATACTTGTTGGGTTTCAGCCATTAGGAGTGGTCTACATTCTCCTATTTGAAAAGAATGTTTCTCAGAGCAGAAGTGCGTTTAAACTATTGCGGAAGGAAGGAATTGGGAGCTAGAAACTAGACCATTCAAAGTGAAGAAAAGTTTCAGCAGAGAGGGCGATTAATCATTGGAATGGCTGTGTGTAAGGTACAGCAGCATCTCTGACACTTAAAATCTGTCAAGAATGAGCATCTTTCCAAAGGATGTTCCTTCCATCTTAGTCTTGGTGCTCAATCACTGGAAAAAAATTCTAGCCTGTGTTAGATAAGAGGTCAAATTCTATGAGTACAGTGTTCCCTTATCACTTCAAGATCTCTTTACTTATTACTAATCATCTCTCTGAGGTGAGGATTGGAAAGAGTTCCAAGGAGATGTTGATCCTTTACTGTCCAGTTATCAGTGAAGCCATTCATCAAGTCTACCACAAATATGGCAACAGTTGAGCATTGCTGCTCATAAATGTTTCAGCAGTGTCAAGTGGCTCAGTGTCCAGCAAAATAAGTAGCCTTGAATGCCCCACCCCCAGTTGGGTGGGCTAGTTTCTTGTGTGAAAAAGTGATAGAACAAGACATTTGCTTCTGGTTTAATTTAATTATTGGTTAATAGTTGTGACACAATTATTGCAGTAATAGCTTCTTCAACTCAACTTAATAGTCAAAACCACTAACCTTTGTGGTGATACTTTTCTTTTAGGATTGAGGAAGGAAAAAAATATAATTGCTTGGTTAATCTAATAGTTTCAGTATGCCTAGGTGAGGTACTTCTGCTCATCTAGAACTTGTTTGTTCCCATTTAATTTTCAGTCTGCAATGCATTGTATGCATTATGAATGCTTTCAGCATTCGTAATTCCAGGAGAAACATGGGCTGGGAAGGACTTTTCAAATATGCAGCCTCAGTTAGTTGGCAGTAAAGATAAAAATCCACCCTTTTGTCTATACAGTAGATGGCAAATATGGTCATCAGTTAAACACGAAATTCTCTTGTCCTTTCTCAAGACATGAATGGTCCTGTACTATGTGAACCAAGAGAACACCAGAGGAGTGCATAGCACCTCTTGTAACATAAACAGGAAAACCTATTCCTGTGTGCCATCTGCTTCAAACCACACTAGAGGTCCACACAAGGGCAGCTCCATGGTCACCTTGAGAGCATTACCTTTGTGTTGTCAATGTACAGTCACTGAGAAACCTGTCACAGGGTGGAATACAGCTCCTGAGTGTCCAGCTCATATCGTGGGAGTCTTGTAATGGGCACATAGGCAGATGCAGAGGATTTGGGAAAGAAAAATATAACGTGGAAAAAAGGAGCATTCCCTCTCTACACCTTTAAGAAGAGTTATTATGTTGTGAAACATAAATGTATGTATCTCACATCAAAGAGCTCTGTGTATCCATGGATTGTAATTACCTTCTTGGAACAGTTGGTATGTTAGAGCATGTGTTAGCCTGCAAGAAAATTTAATTAATCTTAAATTACTGTTTCAGTCTAGGTCTTGCAGTTTTCTCATTGATGTTTCACAAAAAAAAAGTGTTTGAATTCTTTCTTTGGAAGGGGGTGAGGGAAGGGCTTCAAATTACTTCTGAAGATCAACTTTGAAAGATACTGGAAGATTAACCTTTCTCTGGCCAGTCAGAAATGCATGTGCTCTCCATTAGTAGCTGAATACAAATCCAGACAGAATAGATTTAGAACTGAGTATGTTTTTTGGGGTGAAAGAAGCTCCTGTAAATTCACATGACTGATGTTATCTTTCAAAGTTGATCTTAATACAACTACTGGCTTATTATTTCCTTTCACTTTCCGTATAATGCAACAGAACTAAGTCTTTTTAAAAGTTTTACTCTAGGCAACAGGCTAAGCTTTTAAAAAGTTGTAAATGTTACTTCAGTGTCCTGGTTTTGTTCTCATTTGGTTACATTCAGGCTCTTAAGTCACAAATGTCACCGTTTCAGAGTTTTGGTATTGTTCTCTTTGGGATACGTTCAGAATTGGATCATCTTTTAATCGTATTTCACCACACTTTGGTGTATCTGTGTTCAAGAAAGCCCATTGTCCAAACCACAAGTGGCACTGCAAGTAAAGACAGAGGTGCTTTAGCAGAACCATAGGTTACGTCAAGCTAGAACAGTAAAGTGCGTGCTCAGCATTAGCAAACCTGTGCAAACATTTGGGGCTGCAAACATTTGGGAAGTGTATTTAGATTCAAGGTGCACAGCAAAACACAGGATGTGCATTGTCTGTTGTATTGTCTGTATATAAATTTCTTCTAGTCAGCTCTAAATGAGCTATTCACCACTCAGATGAATAAACAGAAATACTTCCAAAATGCATAAAATATGCATAACTGTGGTTAAACAGAGGTGTAGGAATTTTTTGCTTTTTAACATTAAACCACTTGAATATATAAAATACCTGTAAGAATTATGACCCTGTAATGAGACCAACCAGCAGAGTGTAATTAATCTCAGGAGTTTGCTGGAATTGCCAACTGCAGCTGATTTGTAAGTTTTAACTTACAAATAATTGCAGTGTTGATTTTGCTCAAATTACCCATAAAGAAATTGGGCAGAATAGCTTCCAGAGAATAGCAGCTAAAATGGTCAAAAGTTCTTAAGAAGCTTTTAAGCCCAGAATTCATGGCTTAAGCACTTAGACTACATCACAGAGCTGATACTAAAGAACTCAGTAAGTACTGTAAAACAACCTAGTAAGATTCAGCAAGATTTATGATAAATTTTGTCAAGTCTTACTGACTTTGATTAGCATTTAAACTCTTGGGACATTTCAGGGCTGTAGAAATAATAGCTCCAACTCCAATCTCAGATGAGCATTGGCATAGAGGAACCTAAGCCTTTCTTGCCTTTACGTAAAGTGGAGCAAAGCAAGCATCTAGGCACTGACAGAAAGTTAGCAGGATCTGAGCTTTCTTGTGGTCTGTATCACTTTTGAAAAGAGAGACCAGTGTCCTTTTGTCATTTAAGTTCTTTTGCTAATTTGATACCTACGTTGTTGGGGACAGGGGGTTGTTCAGTTGATGGGTTTATTTTTCCACAAAAACAAATAAATAGGTAATAATGCCTCTTGCATAGTAAATTCACAGGCTGTCAGAGCACTTCGGAAACAATTGATCCCTGGGGTAATATGAAAGCCGAAGGAGAAAGCATGTCTCTTGAGCAATTTGCTGCAGTATTTCTGAAGGTGGGGTGGCAGCGGGGGGAGTGGTGTAAACATGTAATTGGGCAAGCTGTGAATTTGACTTTTGTTAGGAGAGGTGTTATAGTAAAGGTGCAGGAAGGAAGTACTTGAATTGGGATTGGGGAGCCATCCTCTGCAGATTGTGTGTGCAGGTTATGGAGGAATTGGCTAGAAAAAGCCGTTATAGAGACATGGCTGTGAAAGAGTGTGGTTGTAAATCAGTGTGCCCTGCAGAGGCAAATGACATTTCAGTTTTCTGCTCATGTCAGGGGTGCAAATTGGGAAAAGATAGCTTTTTCTTCTAAAAATGATTATTACAGAAGAGTGAAGGGTTCTAGTTCTCTCCAGCCTGTATTCATTGCAATTAGTTACATCAGTGCAAGCTGAGTGAAAAGGTGTGCTGTTGTGATTCAGTACCGTTTTTTCCACACTCATTTAAGTGAGCACACCGGTGAGTCTCTGGTCCAGCAACTATAAAACCTAAACAACATGCAAAGTGCAAACACAGGTCTGTATGATAAGAATAATGTCCCTTTTCAGTGATGCACTTTACATCTACGTTTCACAAGAGCAGCCTGCCTGTCAAGATACCCTATCTTGACGTTTTCCAGGTGTTTCACATCAAAAATAGCGAGGAAGTGGTCATTGCTCTAGGATATTCTTGGGGAAGGGTGGGGTCTTTTTCACTTAGCCTCTGACTCCATTCCAGCACACACAAAAATGGTAACTTGTATTGGTGAAAACAAACTACCAAATGCAAGAAATACTTGGGTCTTGCAAATATTTGTACCCTAGTGTTGTGCTGTCCTCTGTGTCTCGGTCAGAGTGAGGCTGATACTCTAGCAGCTGAGTAATATGAAGTATTTTTCTGATTTTGAAGAGTACTTTTTCACTAATGAATTTTTTTACAATTAAACATAAATCCGTCGTTGTTTCAGGAGAACCCAGCGCACCCAAACTGGAAGGTCAGATGGGAGAAGATGGAAACTCCATTAAAGTGAATGTTATCAAACAGGATGATGGTGGCTCCCCAATTAGACATTATCTGATCAAATACAAAGCTGTAAGTATGACTGACACTCAATCCTGATTTGTATTTAGCCTGTTCAGTACTCAGGCTTCACTACGTAGGCAGACAACCCTGAAGCTAGGATCTTGTAGGTAGGCCAGTACGGGAATACATGCTAAGCAGGTGTGGTGGAAACGTATAGGGTATGAGACATGACATGCACAGAAGCAACATACAAAATCTTTGTCTCATTTTCTTTCCTTTCACTTTGACTATGAAAGATTATTTCCGCATGCTGTCGTCTTTAGAACTGTGAGCATATGGTAATTACGTGCACTTAGTATTATTTCATTTCATATACTTCTGAGGTGGGATTGCCAGCAACAACTTAAATAGCTGGGGACCAGAGGTTCATAGTGTAGAGCATTGCCCACCTTCAGACTTGTATCTAATCATAACTTTCCATTGGTCATTGAAACTGCCATATTTGATTGAGTAAAGAGGGCTTCAGTACCAAATTATTTTGCAGATTATTGAATAAGATATTCAATGTAGTCAGTGTAGACAGAGATAAAGTGAGAGATGCTATTGGAAGCAGTTCCCCTTTAGGCCTAACTTAATCAGCTCTCATTGTAAATTACTCAGGATTGCAAAACACATGATTCTCTGAGCAAAACATTCCTAGTCTTGGGAAAGAACATCTATGTGATGAGCAGCTAGTATTGTTGTAAGCTGAATGTGGCCCTTGTTTTGTGTTGGGTGGTATTTGATGTTTTTTTCCTACGATGGGAAAATGAAAGGGGGGAAAAAACCAAACCAAAACAAACAAACAAACAAAAAAAAAAACAAAAACCCAACAACAACAAAAAAACCCCGCCCAGTCAGAGAGATTGCTTAGCCCATCCTTGAGGAATAGGACCTTGAGAGAGGGTCAATGAGAATATGAAGCTCTTCAGGGCAGCAGAAATAATTGCCAGAAGTTATTGAAGCTTTTTTGTATTGTCTGCATACTTTCTCAGTCTTAATATATCTGGGGGCAGCTCAGCTGTACCATTGTGTTTGAGGTGAAATATGGAAGCTTTCCAGCTATTAAGAAAGCAGGACACTTTCTCAGTGACCAAGTCTGGCAGATGTGGTGCTGAACTAATTCCATATTGGCTATTAGTAATCTTTTCTTTATATGCTGCAAATGAACAATCCTTAGAGTAAAGTCACAGAGCAAACTTTGCACTGCAGTCTAGAAATCCCAAGGGTATTCGTTACCACCATCATTTTGTGCATTTTAGGTTACTTAGAGCTTCTTAGAATGGGGAGAGTCTTTGGAATGTCAAAAGGACAATCTAGTATCACAGAATCATAAATTCCAGCAGAGACGGAAAAGTCTGTTAGCACACTCCAGTCCCAGAAAACTGCCTAAGACTGTCTCAAGGTACCTTGGCAGTGGGTTTTTCAAATTTGTCTGGGTGAAATGTACATCTGGATTCCCTGAAACTGGAGTTACTAGTTGCATGCACCTTTTAAAATCTCTCTTAAACGGTGCAGAATAGAATGGTAGTGGTAAGCTAGGCCAGACCCATGTTAAGAGGTAAATCTGTCTCTCAGATTATTTAAATTTAACATACTAAGACATGAAAGAACACTCTTAAAATGCTTTGCAGGGCAGAGACATACAGAAGTTGCAGCTTTTCCCTTCTGAAATGGAAGTAGTCTAGTGATGTGGCAAAGATGAGAGGAAGAACTGAGGAATTTTCTTTAAGTGCGGTAACACTGCAGAAAACAGGATTCTGAGCAGGAAAGAGACTGTTTCAGTATCTCTTGTCCTCTCCACTTAAAGCCAACAGCACATGATGTTTTGCACCCCTGAATTAGCTGAGGAGCATGTGCTCATGTAGAAACTTCCCCACTTTTCCATTTGCTAGTTAGCCATTACAGTGTTCTCAAAGCTGGCTACTAATTTTGTGCTGTGTGTTTTGCATCCCTGCCTGTCATCTCGCTGCTCTGCAGAAACATTCCTCAGAATGGAAACCAGAGATCAGACTTCCATCTGGCAGTGACCACGTCATGCTCAAGTCTCTGGACTGGAATGCAGAGTATGAGGTTTATGTGATAGCTGAAAACCAGCAAGGGAAGTCCAAACCAGCTCACTATGCTTTCCGAACTTCTGCTCAGCCTACTGTCATCCCAGGTACAGCAGTCATAAGCTTTACCATTGTTTTCTGCTTCCAATTAATGCAACAGTGCTGCATCCTTTAATGTGCCTGAGTAACCCTGACAACTTGCTTGCTTAAAGCCATTATCACAATTGGTTACCCATCCAAAGCTTAGTTTTTGCCATGTACATACCTGTACTGTAGTCCATGTTACAGTATGTACAGCATTAGCAGTACACTGTTAGGAATGCTACATGACAAATCCTTGTCTGACTGTTTATAGGGAATGTTGGCTTTTTGTATCAGGGTAACAGGATTGCCAGATGAGAAAAGCAGCGGATAGAAAACAGTTTCTGAAACCAGAAAGCAGGATTCCCATTTTAAACTAAAGCAAAAGAGACCATTCAGATCTCTGGGGCGATGCTTTTCACAATGCAGATTTCCCTTCCAAATCTGCTTTGGGCTTGCTTACTGCTCATTTGTCCAGCTCAGCCTTTGGAGAAATAAAGGCGTAAGGAGTTTGCTAGCAGTTGGATAAGGGAGGGGGTTAAAATCTTTCTCTGAAGGTTTTTTATTAAACGAAATGGAGATCAAATTACAGTAATTTTAAAACAGCACTGTTTTAATGTTGGGTAGGACATTAGGGAAAAGTAACTAAATAGCATTAGAATGCTGCTGGAAACTCTTGTTTGAGACAGACTGTACTTATTAGCGTGCTTAAAAAGTGAGGCAGAAGCACAAATGCTATGAAAAACAAGCAGACCCTATTAGCTGAGATGCTAGGAATTTAGCAGTTCGCTGGAAGGTGTTGAAAGGACAGTTAGTATTTCTTTTCTACACGGATAATAGCAGTGCATATTTAAAAAAACAAAAACAAACAAAACCCCCCCCAAAAAACCACACCAAAAACCCAACCCAAACAAAACCTCAAGGATGAAATTACTGGACACCTGTAAATTAAAGTTCTGATTGGTTAAAGACAGATGGACGAACTTGAAAGCTGATGAGTCAGTCAAGATAAGTCCTCACTGCACAGATTGGTGCTGACAGCCCATACTGAAGAGAGTGATTTGATTTCATTCTGTCTTCTAGATTGTTAACTCAGTCTCGTGTTTTTCTTCAGAACAACTAGAGAGTTTTCTTCAGTCTTTCCCTTGCATTGAGAATTCAATTCTTGGTCTGCCCCCACTGTGCCCACTCCCTTCCTGTCTGAAGGAAATAGCTGAGATCTTGTGCAGTTTGCATGCTGAAACTCCACTTGATTAAGCCAGATAATGTTGTTAAGCATACAAATGAGTGACCTAGTTGGTTGGGGCTTGAAAAATGTGTAGGGTAGGGGGGATGAGCATAGGAAGGAGGAGGGAAATGGGGCAAAAGAGAGATGGGGATGTGTTTGAACAAAGCTGTAGTTTTGGGTGGAAGGACCCTCAGTAACTCATTAAGCAACTTACTCTCTGATTCTCATTTTCAACAGCTCTAATACTTACTACCCTCACATATTTGAAGGACAACTGCGACTGATTGGCAGGAGAAAGTGAGGGTAATTTGGCAAAGAGTGCCTAAAGGTCAGTTCAGAGCTGAACAGTCAAATGCGGTAGGCTGGAAACAGCAGAAGGTGGTTCCTTTGCACTGTGATGTATCTCCCCAGGGAAAGTTACAAGTACTTACAGTCTTTTTGTTCCTCCACGCTCCTTTGTACGCAACCATTGTTGCCTTCCTGTGCTGATATTTTCTCTTAGCCTTTGTTACATGCCCAGCGGGACAGCAAAGCTACCTGGGACAGCTGGGATGTCTTGCACAGGTGTATTAGCAAATTTTGAGAATGCTGTTGACTTTGGAATATGCAGTGTTCATACTGTAGTCCATGGCAATGGGAAGAGCAATGAGCCCAGATGCCACTGAGCCCTTGAAATGCAACAGTAACATCGGCAGGCACCTTCTAAAAAATGGGGCGGCGGGGGAAGCCCAGTTTGTTATCACAGGTGTAACTTCTTTGGCCTCTCTGAAATTATTCCTCACTTAGTCTGGTGTGAAGCATAGGAGGAATCAAGATAGGAGGCTGCCACTCAGATGTTGCACTTGGAAACATCAGAAGCACTTTGAAAAGCAGGTTTTTTGGAGTGCAGATTTGCTGCAAGGTTGACCCAACAGATGGATGCAGTTGGTTCTCAGAAAGAATGTGCTCTGGTTCAGGGGCAAGTAGAGCACTGTGCAGTGAAATGATTACTGCTGGCTATACTGGACTTGTGACTCTCTTTCTCCTTGTAGAGGACTTTGGTTTTTATTAGGCCTTCCAAGGTGTTTCCTGACCTTTTGGTTCCCTGAGCTGATCCCCAAACTAATAATGCTGGGGAAAATATTTCCAGAGGGCAGGCTGGATTTTTCTGACATGCAGTCCACAGGTTTCTATTGAAATGAAGGCAAGTATGCCAAACTGCAGTAGGGAAGAGGCTCTGTGTATTACTTTCCTTTAGCATCTTTTGTCATTTTTATGGCGTTTAGCTTTTACATTTTGATTTCAGAATGAGCTACATAGAAGTCAGAGCCAATGCCTCTAACATGGCATTGCTCTGCTTGACAGTAAGAGCTAGGAATTTCCTGCAGGCAAAATGTATATTTATTATGTAGAGTCCTTTGTTACCATCATCTGTACAGTGTCCTTAAAGTGGTTGGAACGATGAGGGTATTATTTTCAGTAATAATAATAATTGCATTAGAGTAGTTTACAAGCAGCTGGAAGGCTAAATGGAAAAGTTAGTCCTGTATTCTTGAGACCTTCTTGCTTCTCGAGGGTTTTAGTCACCTGGATCTATTATCCAAATCCTTGGTACAACAGGCTTTGGGGGAAGGACTTGGACAGGGAGGTGGATTGTCTGCTACACAAAAGCTTTTCTTTTTTTTTTTAATGTGTAAAAGGCAGTGTTGTCCTTTCAAATACCAGATAACCATTTTCTTGTGTTTCTCGCTGAGCCTTCTGTTCCATCATTTTTAATATCATTTGCCTGCGAACCCTATAAACCCTGACTTGGACCCTGCTCTGCAGCTTTGGACATTGCTGAGCTTCTGAACCGGCCCTTTTGTCGGTGTGAATGTGCTAATGCTCTTCTTTAACCTTTAGCCATTTTAATTTACAAAATTAAATAAACCTTTGATTCTTATGTTTTCTATATTTATGACCTAATTTTTTTATCTATTTTTCTCTCTTTCTCTCTTTCTTTCTTTTTCTTCCTTGTCCTTTCTTCCCTGCCCTCTCCCTTCTTCCCCTTACTCCTTTCCTATGTCTGTCTTCATACATGTCACCTTGGATCTCACGGGGAAACATCCACGCTTGCCACATGCACCAAATTTATTTTTAAACAACCATATTTTCCCCTCCTGGGAACCATTGTCTGGCACCTGCAGCGACCTTGGGAAGTCCATCAACGTCGTCCTCCTTTGTTTCATTGCTTCTTTCTGCAGTGACTCTGCTTTTGCTCTGTTAGAAACTTGAAATAAAATAAAACAATATTTGCTTGAAAAGGCCTGGGTCCCACCAAGGCCTGAAAGCAGATAACTTTGCATCAGAGGATCATGTTGGTTCAGAGGGAAGGGGAAAAAAAAACCCACAACAAAAAAACCACACCACACAAAAAAACCCCCACCAAACACAGAACATTTAAAAAAAAAAAAGAAAGTTTGATATGAAAGAGTCAGTATTTTGTAACAAGGAAAAAAAGGTTTAAGCCAAGTTTTTTCTCTTTAACATTTTTTTGTTACTTGTAATGAATTTGCCCTTTTTAATGGATGTAAAGAAAGATTTTGTTGTTGTTGTTTGCTTGCTGTTTTTCATCAAAGGAAGGTACAATATTGAAAGCCTTTTAAGATACTGCTTTTTACTGATTTCTCCGCACATCTGGTGCTGATCACCACTGTATTGTGCAAAAGGTTTCCAAAGCCCCATCCACAAATCTAAACCCACAGACTATAAAAAGAGAGAGAAGATTTGTCAGAGAGAATCCTGCTGGTTGCCCAAATGTCTCTGAGGGCTTTTGCATGTGGATTCAAATCTATGGCCATTAGAATGTTCTCCTGATATGATGGTCTGAATATAAACATCTTGTGGGAATTACACTGTAGAGATTTCTTTCTTTCTTCTTTATGTGGTTGAATCCTTGCGACTTCATTGGCCCCTTGTGTGCAGTCAAGCATCTCATGATCCAGAGTGGATCTGGGGCATAATACAGCCCATGAGCGTACAAATTTGCAATGGATGCTTGTCTAATATTTTCTGGTTTTCCACTATTGTATTATCAACTTCATAGAGATCCCTTTTCTTGCCATTTTAACAGAAAATATTAGCTTGGATCAAGTTACCTGACCAGCTAAATTATTATTATTACTGATCCTTAATAATATTCATGGTTAACTACGCATGTGACACCACCAGACAGGATTAATCCATTGTGTAAATTGGTGCAATATAATGCATCTTTGTTACCAAGTTCTGTGTATTGCATTTTGTTGAACAAATTTCAGTTGACCTTTTTTCTTGTTCTTACTTCAAAAAAAAAAACAAACCACATACAGAAAACCAACTCAACAACAACAAAAAACGCTGTGCCCCTCATGAATTGTCTTTGTGATGGGAAATCCATTTGGCTCTGATGCTCTTCTAAAAATGGGTGTGTGTCTCCCTCTAGGTCTCTCTTTCTCTCTGAGTGGCCTGAGGTTGCCAAGGATGAAATTGACATAGTTGTTGAACTGTCTGTACAGAATGTCTCAAATATTATCAGTTGTCTGGAATGGGATTAATCTTTTTAACAACATTCTAATAGGGACAAACAAAAAACGCTGCCATCAGTCTTGTCTAACTATGCGTTTTATGCTCTGCACCTAAGTCTCTGCTGTATTTATTCAGACCTTGTTCATTATGATTTGTGAACTGCTTTTTTATCTAAATTATAAATGAAAACTTTGTGCAGGTGTTGCACACAAAAGCATACGGATTTCTTTAAAAAAAAAAAAAACACCTCACCTGCAGTGTTTTAGAGTGTAG